CCATAACAATATGAAACCCTATTGATATAAATTGAMATGAGACAAAAATTATGATTTTGATGGATGAGCTCACAAATGTGTTGTGCTGCAATAATAATTGAGATTCAGTATTTGTTTTATCTAAAGAACAGTAACAAACAATTTGTCAGGAACAATGTACTAAGTGAAGTAAAAGTATCTGATTATTCAGCTGGTTGTGAAGCTTAGTTTGTCCAGGTTTATACTATTGCAATTTCTTCAAATGATCCTTAAAGCCGTTTATAAAATATGAAAACAATTAAACAAGGATCTGAGGTCTTCAAAAATTACATTTTTCAATCGCGAATCCAAAGGAATATATGTTTATCTTCACACTTATAAAATCTTRAAATTTATCAAATRAACAATTACGTCAAAATTGACAGTTAATCAAATGTACAAGCCAGAAAGATGGCTATTACACAATGTACAAAGCAGTGAACTGAACAAATAAGAACTTAGCAATATAAAAGTACACAATATTAATGATCTAGAGGTGAAAGGTGACTCATTGAATTTGTGAAGAAACGCCAAACCTCAGAAGTACAAAGTCTATACTTGTGACAAGATTACGTCAAAGAGGACATTCTGCCTCTAGTTGTACTAACCACTGCTTGAAGCTCAGAAATGAACTAAATTGAGCAAAAGAATCCAGTTTCATTTATATAACAAGATATCTTCACTGTCTAGAACTACATAAAAATTTCCTATATTTGGTGAATGATTACGCGGCCAAATATAGTTGTTGACATTATTACAGCAGCCCTTGCACTTGTCGAAAGTTTCTTTGCTGGTGAAAAAAACTATCTTTAGGCTAACAATAAAACATAAATCTTTCTGTATTTGCCACCATTTCTTAGGACACTAAATATTAAAGAAACGTTTGAAGAATGTTCCAATTCCAAGAATTAATTAAGCAAACAGTGTCGATTAAGTTGACAAGTCAAATCGGCTTCTTGCGAGGCTTAGGAGGCATTCAAAATGGCTTCCAAGTTAATCAATTCAAAATGGCTTCTAGGTTAATMAATTCAAAATGGCTTCCAGTCTAATCAATTCAAAATGGCTCCCAGGTTAATCAATGCACAATGGCTTCTAGGCTAATCAATTCAAMAWGGYTTACAGGTTCATTAATTCAAAATGRCATTGAAGTCAATCAATTCAAAATGGCTGCCAGATAATCAATTCAAAATGGTTTCCAACTAATAAATTCAAAATGGTGGCAAAGTTAAATTAAAGTTAAACCATTAGACTTTTCCAATTAAATTACATGGTGGTAGTTGGCCTATCGGTTAAGACCTTCACATTTAACCTTTTTTATTATCCCAGAAATATACTTTTTAGTCTTCCTGTCAGATTTGATAATCAAAACTTATTACGGAGTTGTCTGAATGTTGCTAAGTGATGAGCCTATTGATCACACAGTGCATCACTGTCACGCACACCAGGGAATGGTGGGGAGGGGTCACTTGAGACTCGCATTTGCACTGGCCCTCACTTTAAGTGCTGGCTTGGGTGACATCAGAATTCCCCCCTGGAGTCTGCAGTGGGTGGAGGTTTGACATTCATGCAGTCAGCCTCCAGTATCAGGGCAGTCTTAGGTTTGCTGGTCTTGGCCTTATAACTTGGCTCTAGTCAGGGCAGCGAGACTACCAAAGAGATTAGGCCTGCTGGTGTGGCAAGAGACTTGGTGCTGGTGGGGCCTCGGGGAGGCATATATTTTTTAAAGTCAAATGGGCATGTACCCTATAGAGATGGAATACATTAAAGACATATTTAAACATTTTTCAAAGTCCAACTTTATTTTTCACAAAACAACAAAGGTAAAAAATACAAGTTATACACAAAGTACAAGTCAATAAGTGGAATAAGTGAATTTACCTTCTTGTTACCATGACATCAAAGTCACAAGATGAATTCACTTACCTTATAGGTTGATTGATGTTCCACGTCGAATTTGTATCCCAACCCACCCAACAATAATAATATAACCCCTCCCCACCCTAATGTAACACCCACCCAGACCCAA